CCCCCCCCGCCCCCCCCCCCTTCTCTACCGCTCTTTGGCTCCTCTCTCCCCAGCAGTGAGAGGGCAACAGAGCGGGCCAGGGCTCCTCCAAGGCTCCTTGGCCCCGAGACGCAGCCCTGCAGCCAGCAGCCAAAGCCAGGAGCGGGCGGGGCAGGGCAGAGGGCAGCGGGTGGGCCGGCCTGGGGTGTGCTGGGGCAGCTGATGGAGTCTGGATGCCAGCTGGGCCAAGGGTGAGCTGACCAGAAGGCAGCCTGTCCGAGGAGGAGAGGCCCGCAGGCCTGGTGTCTCACACGCGGCCTCACGGGCCCCCGGGCGCCCATCCTGGCCCACGGTGCACAGATCAGGAAACTGAGGAAGGAAGGGCTGGTCCCAAGTCACCTGGGGGCCACGGGGGCCACCTGGGTCTGGCTCTGGGCTCCGTGTTGCTGGCCGGGGTCCCGGGGATGCCTTCTTGGGTCCCTGTGTGCCTGTGTGTCCGGGGAGGGGGCTGGGCGAGGCCACCTGCAAGGACTCATCTGAGACCCGAGGCTCTGGCGGCTGGTGGAGCTTCACGTGGGCTGCTGACCCAAGCCCAGGGGTCAGACGCGCGTGTCACGGCTGCAGGGGCCGCGTGGGGGCTGCCACGTGGGGGGCCCAGCCCTTCCGTACACCAGGCCTCCAGCCCTGGCTCCTCGTGGGGCCTCCTCTCCCCTGCGCTGTCCAGCGGGGGTCCCCCTACCTCTCCACCTTTCCCTCTGTCCCCTTTTGTCCCTTCACGTCCCAGCCAGAAATCCCTCTGGGGAGAGGAGAGGGGTCTTGCTGGCTGTCGCTCTGCGGCTCCCAGACCCTCCTCCCAGCCTGTGACCCAAAAGCCCCAGAAACCACATCCAGATGGTGATGTTGCCCATTGGTGCCTGAGTCCGGGGCCGCACGTCCCGGGCTCCACGTGCCCTGGCCGGCAGCCCTCGCCCTCCCTCCCCGCCTCCCCGCGGCCCCGGCCCTGCCCACTGCAGAGACCTGGGAATTGGGCCCAGAGGCCTCATCTCATCTATTTTTAAGTACAAGCCCATGAAAGATTCACAGGCTGCTTTATTTACAGGTGGCAGGATGGCATGGTATGCGCGAGAGGCCTGAAACCATGTCGGCCTAGGTGAGCTCAGCCTGAGCGCCCAGGGGCAGCCCGGCCTGGCTTGTGCAGGCCCCCCGGGGCCTCCCTCCCCGACGCCAGCCGGGCCCCCTGGGACCGCCCCCCCCTCATGCGGGCCAGGCTCCCCAGGCTACTTCCCTTCTTCCCATCCCACCGGAGGCCCGGCTCCCTTGGGCCTTCTCCCCAGGAGGTGCCCCCCAGAAGCGACAGGGGGCTCATGGGGGGCTCCACCGCCCACCTCCTACCCCTGCCCCCCTATACAACCAGCTGCTCCCTAGCCCGCTTCCCTGATCCTGCGTGATCTCTGAGACACCCCCCTCCCGGGCTTTCGTCCTGCCCCCCCCTTACGTCCTCCTGGGGCAGGGTGTCTCCAGACACAAGCGGCAAAGTCAGGAGTGGCCCCTGCTGGGCCAGCCTGGGCCACGTGCTTATTTCATCCCAGCCGTGCGACGTGGGGTCAGTGTCCCCATTTTACAGACTAGGAAACTGAGGTTCTGGTGCACTGGGTAACTTGGGTGTGAAGCCAAATCTTAGCACTTCGACGGTTAGGTGCCCCACCCCTGTCCCAGCCGCCAAGTGGCGAGGAGGGGTCACACAGTGCTCACTTTATCTTGGCTTCCAGAAGCGGAGAGCCTTGGCCCTTCCCTCCAGGCATGCCACCCAACCCAAGAGAGACACGCAGACCACAGGGCCCCACCCTGCCCCGGAGAAAGGAGGCTGTGGGCGGCCTGGCCCCTGTGGCTCTGCCTGCGGGACCCCGCAGATCCCCGGGGCCGCCCGCTCCCTCTCCCCCTGCACCAGCACCTGGCACCCAGTGACGTCCCCTCCCCTTGGCTTCAGGCTCACTCGGGCCTCGGGAGGGGGTGCCAACCCAGCCTTGATTATGTCACCTGGTGTCATGTGCTGTCTGGCTTAGTCCCAGCAAATGCCCAGGAGGGCTCCCGGCTGTTACCCAGCAGGGACCAGGGCGGACTCATCGCCGGGTCACCTGGGTCACCGCGGGAACTCGGGGCACTTGGCATGTCAAACCAGAGTGTCCCTGCTCTGGCCATGCTCTGGGGAGGAACCTGAGGGGAGCCCTGCCAGTCCCCACCTACGTGGGAATCACTGATTTTAGGGAACATCTCTTTTCTCAGTATCTCCACCAACCCAGAAGATTCTCTGGGGTTTCACTTTCTGGAAACAAAAAGGTTTTGTTAGCTTTCCAAATAGGACGTTACAGGATTGAGTATGTCTTTCAGCCCCCCCC